GAAGTGTGTGAATGTTTGACATGCCAGAAGTAGGTGACTGTTCTAAGGAGAATAACTAAGAAGAATCAATAAAAACAAAATAACATTAGCATTTCCATAGTGCTTTACATTCCCTAAATTAATGTTAAGTGCTAGGAAGAAAGATCAATTTAACCAAATCAAACAAAATGAATGCCCCCACACAAAATTATGAGATCCATGAAACTAAACAGAGGAAATGGCACATCAGATCTTTATCCATACAATGATATTTATTTAATGCGTCTCTTTCCTACCTGCACTAATATGCTGCAGCTGCAACTACTTCTTTTGGTACTCAATTATTTGGAAAACTATCTGCAGGAATTGTCAAAGGTTAATCTAATACCCAACATTGTCCATAGCAACACATGAAAAGTAAGCATCAGTGCTTGAGAATCAAAACAGAGAAACAACCTCACTATAGCAGGGAGCTCTGTTTCATCCACTGAGATTACTCTGAACCTTTCTGTGCTATTTTACACTATGCAATAAGCTATCCATTTTTTGCTTTATTGTAGTATAGGCCTTAATTCCTCCAGGTCAGGTTAAATGGAGAAACAGAGGGAGAACAGCAGAAGGAATAAAGCAAATGTCTACATTTCCCCTGGTAAATAACTGTATATTCAACAAAACCCATCAGCATCTAAAGGGTTCAAATCAGCTTCTCATTCCACTTTAGTGCGGATGTATCTGCCTTTTGCAGTGGCAAGCAAGCACATCCCCATGTCAAACACATGTAATTCTCATCCAATTCTGAACAGAGTATATGGTCATTTTTAATCCAAACTTGCCCCTTCTTGGCATTTACTGATAACTCAAACATTAAACCTCAGCCTAAGTTTCCCCCTCCCCTGAAAACTTGATTGTTTCTATAATTCTCTCTGCAGGACTTCTCTTGCCAGTCCCTCGTTTCCCTTATCTGGAAAAGTATCGCAGTACAAACCCTCCTGACTGGAGGAGATCCCTCTCCTAGCATGGCATTGCAGGAATTATACAGAACCCTCTACAAGATGGCTCAGGGTAGCACTGCATCCCTGTGCAGGATAATAGAATCCTGCTATCCACCCACACAGAAAATTGATTCTTATTCCAAGAGTTATAAAAGTTCATAATGATTACTCATTCTAACTTTGGTCTCAAATTCATATCAGAGGCTATGCTTTCTTTCATGTTATACACCTGCTACTACTGAAAGCATCAATAAGAAGGATAAGTCCAGAGAGACTCAGATTCTTAATATCTGCTAAAAGCTAGGTATCTCAAACTTCACCCATAAAGGCCAAAAAACATGAATTCTTAACATTTCTGTAGCTGTACTGCTTCAAAGCACTGGGCAAATACACTAATCCTCACAACACCCCAAGGGAAGCAATTATCTATCTATGAGTTATTCTTATTTTACAGATTCAAAAACGGAGGCAGAAAGGTGAAATGATGTGCCCACATTCAAAGAGAGGAAACTCCTATTAGAAATCAGGACTGTCTCACATCCAATCCTGTGCTCAGACTACTAGATCACACTGCCTCCCTGAAGGTTACAAATTATAGGGATAATATATTTACCCAGACTACTTCTTAAAATTAATGTCTTCAGCAAAGTAACTTCTTCAGTGCTGCATCCTATGAAACTACTAAGATCAATTCTGGCATTCTGTCTTAAAGGCAAGGCAGTAGAGATGGGTCAGACACAGGCAATAAAAATGAGAGGCCCAGAAAAACTTTTATAGGAGAAGAGGTTGAAAAGGCAGGGACTGTTTAGTGGAGAGAGATGCAAGAGGGGACTTGACAGAAGTCTAAAACAATAATGAATGGTACGGAGAGGGTAAATTGGGCACTCTCATTAACGTTATTATATAATACAAGAGAGCAAGGAGACAGTCCCTAAAGTTAAAAGGTAAAATTTAGAGCTAAAGGAGACAGATCAGAATACATGGTTAACCTGCAGAACCCACTACCACAATACATCATTGAGCCCAAGAACTCAGTAGGATTAAAAAATATGGACTACATGTGGATACAAAAAAACTGCAGTCTCATTTGATGGCATAAAAATTAAGGAATATAAACTCTCATATTTCAGAGCATATGTCAATCTCTAACAAGAACCCACTAAGAACACTTTCCCTATGAGCAAGTAATTCCATAATTATGTACCACAGAGGTTTTTGTTCATTTGTTTTTCAATATTTGTAAACTTCTCCTGTTGAAACATCTGAAATTGACCTCTGTCAAAGACAGGACACTGGACCAGATAAAGCGCTGGTCTTATCCAGTATGGCAATTCTGCCATTCCTATGACATACACTTCTTGGCTGTGTCTACATTGGCACGATCTTGTGCCAAAGCGACCGCTCTTGCGCAAAATCTTGCTGCCTGACTACACTGGCTGCGAGTTCTTGCGCAAGTAAACTGATGTTCTACTGTATAAAATCAGGGATTCTTGAGCAAGAAAGCCCTGGTTTCTATGATTCCTATGATGCTCCCACTCAGGAATAAGCCCTCTTGTGCAAGAGCTCTTCCAGAAGAGGCCAGTGTAGACAGGCAACATGAATTTCTTGTCCCAATGCCCTATGAAGAGAAGGACTGGCAACTCAGTGGGAAAACTTCAGACAGAGAACCAGGTCTTTTGTTGCAGCAGCAAAAGAGTTAAAAACATCCCTCAAAAACAGATAAATATAAAGTACTCCTGCTTTCACATTCTATTACCACATGTAAGTGGAGATCAAGCCAACCCCATGCTGTAGATAAGCAAAGTACAGGCAGGGACTTCCTGATAGCTTGTTCTTTCCAAGAATGATTTTGGGTTCTTTAACACCATATTGAATCATCACCTCCCTTTAGCTCCCCCACTAACCACCCCCAAACAATCCAGCTCTGGCAATCCAGTGTCCTTCAGTGACATTCTGAAACACTGTAGCAGGCAAACAACAGCTGTTGACATGCTCCTCCCCCAACTTGTCTCCCACCAAACCTCTTAAAAACAGAAAAGGTTCAACTGGAAGAATCTAAAACAGTGACTATAGCAGCAGTCAAGGTCTGTGTGTATTCAGAAAGTGAAAGCGGAATTATATAAAAGCAACAGTTAATAAAAAAGATTGCTCTGTGCTGTGTTTTCCATCTTTCCAACCATTATAGGAATAAAATTTTCCATAGAGAAGATCGAAAACCTTTTTTCAAAACTAATGCAATTAAGTTTTATTACACTGTTTCAAGTACATTTCTCTCTTCTCCCAACCCAGTCTGTACACTTCCCGCTCCTATCTAGGCTTAGGGTTGGGGACTTTCTTCTATTTTTACTACCAGTAAAATGTTCATATTTAAGGGTCAGAACTGTACTGTTTTGTGCTAGGAAACAGTCTGCCCTTCTTACCTACTCACTGTTACGCAAGGAAGAATGAAAGGAGGAAGATATCTATGTACCAATCATACAAATGGTGCCAAAGATCTTCCAACTGATCTCAGATTAAGTGAAACTCTTGCAGCCAAAGCATCAGTCACCATGTATTTAAATTGTAAGAGGTTAGACTTTTACAGGATGACTTCAAAGGGAACCAGATAATATGATGAAAAGGCTTAATGGAAGGGCAGGGCTGGAAACAGCTTTTTCTCTAGCCTACACGCCCACAAGTAAGGACAGACACACACAGAAATACTAGCCATTTCTACTTTGGGAAACCAAGTATAGAAGGGAAAAATATAATAGAAACACAGCATGAGGCCAAGAAATTGCAAAAATTCCCTTTGCATATGAACATATGGATGACTGTGACAGTTAGAGCTAAGGCTGGTGGATTGTTTGCGATTTCACTGCTCAATCTCCATTATCCATAAACTGAACTGAAACCTGAATTTATTGCACATTTAGTGGCAGTTTTAGTAGTTTATTTTTTAAATTAATTATACAAATAAAAGAAAGTATTGCCACAATGTGCAAAATGAAACTGCTTCTGGATATGTTTCACAATTAATGGCATTAAAAAGTACTGTATAGAACACACATGCACTAGCAGAGCGAGGGAAAAGGAAACTAGATATGCTAATAGGGTCTTGCCATTTTTACAGTCCAGTTTTCCAATAAAAATGGGCCATCACACTGCATGTTGGTAGTGGAATTTGCACATTAGCTTTACTATTTCTTTGGGATACACCTTTTCCCCCACTTCATTTTTCTCCAGCATGCAACATCACCAGAAGTCAGAGCTGTGAAACCTCGCTATCACAAAGTCTAATTACTTCAAATTGTAGAATACTATTCTTTACATTTATTAAAACAACAACTACTATTACCACCACCACTTCATTTTGTCAGAGAGAGAAAAAACACTTTAGTTCATAAGGAACAATGTAGCTGCTCTGATTTTTATTACATCAATTTTTAAAAACTCATCATGGTAAACAATTAAATGGAGAAGCAAATCCCACGTTTAGTGGAGAGATTCAAATCTCTAAATGGATTTTCAAAGGTCATTTCAGGCTTAAAAGATGCCTGACAGTGTCTCTTTAAGTCACATTCATTTCAAAGGCTTATCCAGAAAAAGACAGACGGTGCATTGCAGCAACATACTTTGGTCTGTAAGACGCCTCTGAGAAAAATTAATAATACAACTTTAATTCATATGTATAGCTAGATTTGAGATTGCCTTTTTGGGGAGCCATGGATTTTTTAAAAAAGAAACAACAAGGCTTTTTTTTTTTTTTTCAACTGAGTGCCATTGTGAAATAAAAACATAAATTATTATAAACTAATTTTTCAAAAATCATCCAAATAAAACATAATTATCTTTTAAATGTAAAAGGTTCAGTTTGTGGAGTTGTTTGATTTAACTGCACAAGGTGAATGTGGGGGATAAATAATAGGGACTGACAGTTCCAGGTTTCATTTCAATGCTTCTCGTTTCTCTTCTCTGCTGATCTACTTGGATCCACATTTGATCCCATTAGAGTTCAGGCACTGTAAATGAACGCCAACACAGCCTTACCTTCCTCTCAATACGGGCCAACTGCTCCTTACAGAAGGCATCTCGCCGTTTCAACTCCGCCTCTTTGCACTGTAGCTCACGTGCCTACAAGGAAGAGCAAACAGTTTATCAACAGAACAGGACCATTAAGAGGACAGCTAGAGGGACTAGGACGGCAGGATAAGAGGACTGAAAGGAGTCCAGAAACCCCAGGTGACCCAGGACTGGTGATGAAAGGATCATACCAGGTCTCTCCAAATAATGTGATAAAGATCTGACTGAATTGTAAACATATACTTGCTTAACTCAAGGATTGCTCTCCAAGTTCTAATCACACTTAAATTCTCTACCCTACATATATTCCTTCTCTCTATTAAAAGATTAAACCACCTACGATGTGTAATCACAGAAGTGACAATATGGCCAATACAGAACCTCCCCCTACCTTTTCCAGAATTCCATCTAGTCTAGTTCAAAATTTCTCATATAAAGGACTTCTACCACTTTCTTTAGGTATCTGTTCTACAAGGCATGCTTTAAAATACAAAAGAAAAACCCACCTTCAAGAGCCACCTATCACTTGGGGTTTAAGAGAACTCATACAAGATTCCTCTCTTTAAAATCTTGAGGCTAATCCTGAATATTCAAACTTTTTTATACTGTAATATTTATATCACACACATTTATTGCCCATGCTATTGAATTTATATATACATAGTACTTAAATAAGGTGGCCAGTAGCTCCCCATTTTATATTTTACACACACACACACACACACACACACACACACACACACACGGCCCCCAACCTTTATTGGGCCCAACCTGTTATTGTAGATCTTCCTAACACCCTTTAAAAAAATAGGATTTTTGCTTCCTTGTAGTAGAGCACTAAATTGAAGAGTGCTTGATACCTTCAAACAGCAAGTCAAGCACCCAAACACATGCCTGAAGTATAACTTAGTCATCAGCAAAAAACACCCACAACAGGACAAGAAAAATATTTGGGTACTTATAGGAACATAGCTTCCTCATTTAGAAAACAGTTGTGTACAGTTAGCAGCAGTACTTTGCTTTCCCACTCCTATGTTGAAGTGGCATTAGATAACAAGGCAGTTATGGAACTCAACTGATATTTCTTATTAACAGCTCAAAATAAAAATCAGGAGAGGAGGATGAAACTTGAGCCCCCAAAATTCTGCACAGCCACCTGACTTATCACCATGCAGTGGACCTTTCATAGGCAAAATTATTAGACCGTTTCATATGACTGCAAACACTGCTAATCCATACACAAATCCCAGCAGCATCATTCTTAACTTTTAATGATGCCCGATGCAATTGTAGAGGATGCTAGTCTGATATGATTAAGTAGCCTGGACAGCAATGTCCCCTGTGGGCTCAGACCTGTCATTTTACAGTCAGCAGTCATTGTTAACGAGAAAAATTACATCTGAAAACGAGTTGCTGTGTGTTTCCTTCCCTTTACTCTTTTAATGACGGATGTGTTGTGGTATAACGAGGGGATCTTTTAAATTAGGAAGGGAAGGGGGATAAAGATGTTGGTAAAGAAGCAAATAGGAGGCTTTTTTGTTATATGCACCATCTTTACAGGCCTGGTAATGACCAACTTCATTGAAGTGGTTACCAGATTTGAACCTTTTTGGTTCCCACACCTGCTTTCCCTGACATTCAGGGCCAGAATAAGGCATGCATGTTACAGACCCATACTTAAAGCCCCACCTCCAGGAATCATGTGGTTAAAGAAGAAGCTCAGCTTTCATTCTCAGAGTAATTATTAAAGGTTCACAATCCTGCTAGAAGGCCATAACAAGTGGGGTTCTGCAGGGGTCTGTTTTGGGACTGGTTCTGTTCAATATCTTCATCAATGATTTAGATGATGGCACAGAGGGTATGCTTATTAAGTTTGCAGATGATACCAAGCTGGGAGGGGTTACAAGTGCTTTGGAAGATAGGGTCATAATTCAAAATGATCTGGACAAATTGGAGAAATGGTCTAAGGTAAATAGGATGAAGTTTAATAAGGAGAAATGCAAAGTATTAAGGCTTTCTCTATACTGCTGAGTTTAAAGCGGTGCTGCAGCAGCATTTTAACATAGTAATGTGGGCACAGCCCCAGCGCTGGTAGAGCTCCCCCAGTGCTGTAGATAAACACCTTCACAAGGAGTCACTAAAAGCATGGTTCCCAGCACTGGGAGCCTGCTTACAGTGGCACTTTACAGCACTGTAACTTCCTGCCCTTGGTTTTTCACACCTCGAGCAAGAAAGTTACAGTGCAGTAAAGTACCAGTGTAGACAAGCCCTAAAAAACTTTGTCCCACATGACTGCAAATTTAACTTGGGTATAATCAAATCCCTGAGTCTGCAAATGGTCTGGAATAACAGTTTTGAGCATGCTGAACTGCCCCCATGCATCTCAGAACGGTGTTAAGAGCAAGGAGCCACTGCTAGGGGGAGCCTCACCAACACTACTCCAACAGAGAAAACGGTCTGCATTGCAAAACCAGAGGAGAAAACTGCAATGGGTACCGAGAACTACCCAAGTAGGTACCAAAGTTGCTGCTAGGTCCTGGGAGCACTCCTGCTACAGTGCGTCTATTCTAAGCCAATCAGAAGATATTGATCAGTTATGGACCATTAAACTATTGTTATTTACTGCACTAGCATCCAATGTCTATCAAATAAAATAAACTTATGAGGCATCAACTCTGAAAAGAAAGGTGCTATAAATGCAAAGCCTTATACAGGAATAAGCCTGTTTAAATATAAAACATTTAAAACATAATAAACACCTCTGCTTCTCTCAAAAGTAGGGACGTAATAGAGTATACATTGAAATGGCTAACCAATGAGCTGGGCTCATCAGTTAACCCTCACAGTTACACACAAGCCTGCCCTCCCACCTTGCACTGCTGCCTCTGTGTCAGAGGCAGCGGGGGCAGAGCAGGTGGGAGGCAGTGCTAGCAGAGAGCCAGCTTTTAAGCCGGCATCCTGCGAGCACTGACTCCTGGGAGTTGCCTGCCCTCTGCCATGCTGCTGCTCCGGGGAGGCAGGCAGGTGGCACCACAGGAGCTGGTGCACATGGGGAACAGGCTTTTTAGCTGGCTCCCCACCAGCACCAGCTCCTATGGAGTTGCCTCCACTCCTGCATGTAAACATGTAACCTGAAAAATTAAGAGATTACACATTTACAAGACATACTCTTTTTAATGTTCCTACTCAACAGTTAATGAAACAGCAGGAAATCATTAACCTGTGGCAACATTCTATTCCAGTGGCATGAAAATATAGCACAAGGAACCATACAGCGGGTTGAGAGGAGCGTGGACAAGACAGGGGCCTACCTATCCTGCCAAAGTACTATGTAGTCGTCATTATGACAATACCTTTATACCCTGCAATCTTTAATATATCTTTCCTCAATAACCTATGTGGTAATGCATTGCTAGTATAATAATTTCACAAATGGGGCACTGAGGCATAAAGAGACTTAAGTGACCTGCCAATTATCAAAGGAAGTCTGTGCCAAGCAGGGAATTTAAGCTGGGTCTCCTGAATCCCATGCTAGTACCTGAATGACTGGACCATTCTTTTTCCCAATATCTCTTTTCCAAAGAGCTTCTGTAATCATTCCCTCAACTATCAACATTATCCAGCTCAGCTAGACCAGAAGTTGTACTTGTCACTCAAATATGTTTTCAACAAGTTGGTCATTTTAAATAAGCAGTGATTGCTTCACTTCCCTGAAGGGCCTTGAGAAAGTCTTTAGACATGGGTCTGCCTGAAAGTTGCTTTCTGTTTTCCTCTACTCCCAGCTGCTATTACTAGGAACTAGTACACTTTATCATAGTGTTTGAAGTATGTATGATACAGTCAGAGCATGTGTCATTTGAAATATTCACTATACCAAACACTGCAAAACTGGGTTAGAGAACTAGGGACATTTTGCCTGAATGCCGGATATTTATTAAGAGCTCCTCTTGGCCTGCTGCTTATTCCACACCTGAAGTCAGAAGCCTGTGATGTCCCAGACAGAGCTGGTTGCTGTGGAGATGATTGTAAATGTCACAGAGGATTGAGACTGCAGGTGGTAAACAAAGACTCAGAAACACTTTTCATGTAAAAAGTTTATTTTACTAACAAACAGATGAAGGAAGAAAAATATATAACACCACTCTGATTCTAAATAGGATGCTACTCATCCATTTTGTGCCCGCATTTAAGAGTCTGAGTTGAGCTTGGGCTTGTTGCTTGATGAGTGATTGTGTACCAGAGGATCATTTGAGAGTAGAAAACTGACTTCTCAACAACCAAATTCCCACACTCTCAAACAAGTGATGTATGAGCATATTTAAAGAGAAGTGGAATGTCGGACTAAGTAGGCACATTAGTCAAGGAAACTGAGGAGACAGTGTACAATGGACTACAAGCAGGACAGCTCAGTTCAAAGGATCTCTTCCCTCCTATGCAAGGAGGAGAGCATCAGATGCCTGAGAACATGAGTTACTGCATGGTAAGCTTAGGTGCATATCTAAAGAGCACTAACTTGCTTTGTCATATTCCCATTTCAAAATGGGAATATGACCAAGTGCTCTATGAAACTTTTAGTGCTTAGTAAGTGTGGGCACACAGCTTCTTAGAGTATGGCAAGCCAGAGTGTGCTCTGCACATCAGCCTGTTGTCCACTAACTGGTTGTGTAGATAAGCCCTTCATGCTCTGTATTCTCAAAAAGGGATAGTGAAGGTTCTGTGCCAGTGCACTACCTCATCTCTGCCCAAAAGAGAAGCTGCTGCACCAGATTTAGTGCGCTCTAATTCCAAAACTCAACTTTAACCATACATAAAATTGACCAGGGTTGGGCAAAATATCATCTGCAGGCCTCATCAGACCAGCAAAGCCACTGGATCCAGTCAGTGAGAGCCTCAGCCAGCTCCCTGTGTGCTATGCCCCCACTCAGCATTCAGTAAAACCAGCTGCAGGGCCATGTGCATCTCTGAATGCTGAGAGTCTAGAGGAGAGGGTGAAAGGCTTCTTATATTGTTCCTGCCCTCAGTAGCTCCCATTGGCCAGTTTCTGGCCAATA